AGTGCTACAGAGTGTATAGATACACGAAGAATTGCATCTGTAAGAATACATGTAGAAAGAGCAACTGCCAGGTTGAAGTCTTACAGAATATTGAATCAGGTTCTACCTCTTAATTCTGTTCAAAAGTTGGATAAGATAGTCAAAGTGTGTGCAGTCCTGTGTAGCCTCAGACCAGAACTTATCAAATATCAAGGACAAAGACTGAGTAGTCATGTTTGTTTCAGATATCTAGTAGGCTGCTTAAGCCTATGAGATGTAATGATTTTGCAATATGATATTTCACCAACAAGAATGATAAATAATAAATACATATTCTCATTGAAATGATGTTTAAATCATTAAACTGAATGTTCACCTCACCTTGATTTTTGTTATCATTGTTGTTTTATGTTTATATACCAACCTATAGATATTCAATGAATGCAAACTTGTAAATCACCTTAACCCTTAGAATGCCATATGCATGGCACCATATATACAGTGATAGAAACTACCAGTGGCAGATGGCCAAAATAGCAGTTAGTGACCGCCAAAAGTGTTTGGTTTTTTTACAGATACAGCACCACTTGGGCCACTAGGAAAATCTTACAAGTTTCTGTAACTGTATATTAGGGGTGGGCGATAATACCGGTTAACCGGTATATCGCAATTCGAACTTCACGATACGATATATTGCGGTACACTTTTTGCGAACCGGTTCACCCGATACAATCGGCAATTTCCATGACTATGATCGGTAATTTTCGTGATGTAGTTAAAAATACTAATAAGATTTGTATTTCCTTTATATCATTATACATTTATAGTTTTGAGGCTGTATATTGGTCAATCACTTCTGTGTCCTGACAGTGGCATTGTTTCAAATGAAAGGAAGACAGTAATTTCATTAGCTTAGTTAACCCATTCAACACCACAGGCCGGAAAAACAGCTAAGACGTCAGACGTTTCCCCAGAAACCGAAAGGCCGGTAACAGGCCTGGCAGTAGGGGCATCAAAATGGTATATAATTTTAGGAACCTACCTTACATATGATTCACTTATTAAATCTATCACTTTTCACAATGTCTGAAAATACTTATTACATTTCAAATGAACATATATTATCGACAGAATTAGAATTATAAACTATTTTTTGCAATGTTATTGAAAACAAAAATGATTCGGCAACGGGACCACATCAAAGTTGTCAAAGAGCAAAGTAATGATGTTTCGAGGAAATAATTAAACAAATTGATTAAACTAAAGAATAAAATCAAGTACAGTACTCATAATAAAAGTTGTCAAACGTTCATCAAAAGTTACTATTTTCCATCTTTTTAAGTGCGATCATGAAATGTAAGCCAAATTACATTTCGGCTTTCGTCGCCGCGAACTTCACGCTTGCAGACGATGTTTAATGTTAAAATATATGCTTGAAGCATTTTTGTCACAGGTCTTAACCAAGCACGATATGACAACTAAGTTCCATAAGGTGGTGATTTTGTGCGTAACCCGTTCACCCTAAGATCATTTTACCAAAAACTTTCTTCTAAATCTAAAGTTTTCGTTTACAAGGACAGTATCCATTGCTGTAATAATATTGGTTGCCTTAGCTCACGTGCATGATTTTGACCAATCACGAGCCTTATAGCATACATTCGTAACTACTCGTGTCATTCCTTGCAAGCCAGATGGCGACTCGTACCTCTCTCATGGCCATGTTCATGACTAGTCTACGAATAAGAAAAGCAAGATTTAGGGATGTCAGCTTCTTTATTGTGGACAACACGACGCTTTGGAGTGTATGCTTGCTCCTCCACTTCTAAATGCCCTTCAAAGATTTAGTCTAGGAATATTTCCAAAGATAGATAACTCTGAATTTCCAAACATGGCCACTCCTTGAAAGGCATGTTAAGTAAGTTTCTTATGTCGTTAACAAATATCAGTAAAAAGATAATTTTATAATCCCGGAACTAATAATGAAAATCGATAATCGCACAGAAACTATTTGACTCCATTGGCAACTACTCGCCTCTTTCTGTAACCTACGCTATTCGGCTTGTCCGGAATAACACGAATTGGTCACGAATGTATTTGACTCATTTCACATTTTACTACACGCGATTGCCACGATTGTTGGCAGTAATGGCGTACTATACAGGTATGAGTCTTCTTATCCAGTTATCGGGAAATAGCCGTTCATACACATTATTTCAGATACCTTTTTGTAACAATTTTCGTAAAAATGATAATATAGAAGAAAAAGGTAACGGGATATTATGACATCTTACAAATAGGAAAGAAACTCAGCATTGTTTGCTTCCTTCGTGGTTTATCTAGACATTATAATGAGTAAACTTACATTTTCATTAAAACTTTACTTATTTAAAATGTTGTTGTATTATTTGAAAAGTATGGTTTAAAATAACTTTCATATTTATAAATATGTTGGGATTAAACCTTTCAAATAATGCATGCGAGTAGCAGTAATTATGTTTTACAAGCTGATATTTTCCTTGATAAACATAGGCCTCATTTATTACCTCAGAGTCTCTGGGGACTCGATGTCATGGCAGTTTAGCCTCTGATTGACTGGTGTTGAAAGAGCTAAACCATTCGTCACACTTTCACAATATATTGCAACACGTATTCTAATACGACAACATATATCACAATATATCGAAATACGAAAATTTTCGCGATACCCAACCCTAATAAGCATTAATAAGTCATTACCCTTAAACCTCTCATACAGGTGATTGTTCAGGAATTTCTCAGGGTCACCTCTACTTGTTTTAGGTACACTGTTGGCCTTTGATGCTTGTATTCTTACTCGCCTGCTGTCTTTCCATAGCGGACTTGATGACGCACCCTGGTTTAATGTTAAAGTACTTAATTCTTCTCCCTTGTGCTCTGTCATAAAATTCCTAGCAAACAGAACATTCCAATTTTGTGACAGTCTTGCTATAATCAATATCATGAGATCCATGTCTGGATTCATTATTTGACGTTTCCTTGCAGATAGGATTTACATTTTCAGTGGCTGAAAATGTTTTATAGAGAAGAGTACCCTTCAGTTTCCAAAGAAAACAAAGTGGAGAATTATTTACATGCTCAGTAAAGTCTTCTGTGGTAACAAAATGCTTAAATCTGTAGGGCTTGCTTTTCGATGATGTTGAAGTTTCTGCAGCTTGACTGGGATCATCAGATCTTTTTGGATGCTTGAAATTCATGGCCTTTAATTCACTGAGTAATTTATTGCTGTCAGTCCCTCGTCCACATGTACAAGGTAAATCAGTACAAGATTTACCAGCATATCCATGTAACCAGGCTAGATGTACAGTATACATGATGGCTGCAACATGACTACATGACCTTCCATGACCAGCTGGGCAAGTACAACAAGCAGTTAATACAGTACGATCTTTCCTTGCAGCAATCCATGTGTTGTAAGGAACTGTAGAGGCTCCTGGCTGAGAGGGTGACACACAGGCTTTAAGATAATGAACTTCATTTTCCACAATGCTTTGAATATCACCTAACCATCCATTCTGCACATAATTATATGCACATGTTGCACGAAAAGCTTTCATTTCCTTGGAATCAAATGAGTGGGACTTAATGAGGTAGTCAATAATATCTTCATATCCTATATGAGGCCAGTTTCCCGTATTAAAGGTAACCCACTTGGCACTGTCTTCAGGTAGTGACTCTGTAACAGAAAGTACAATAATAACCATACCCACTTATCAGATTTGGCCTTGCCTCATTACAGATTGAGATAACTCTCTGACCTAATGATATTTAACCAGCTGTTACTCCTAGTTACAAGAGAACGTTTTAATTAGTGAGAGATAAATAAGAAATATAATAGTACTTTTAATAACACAAATAAGTAGATAAAAAGTTAGAAGGTATTTTTCACAAATTATTTTGTCAAGATATAGTCAAAACGTAGTCATTTCTGAGCATTTAGTAAGGGATTAATTACCGTGTGTAAATCTTGAAATAATCTTTATATCGCTAAATAATATATATTGACGATGGTTCTTGAAATATCAAATCAAAATATAAACAGACAACACTAGGGGAATATCTTTGAAAATATTTAAATGCCCTACACAGATTTGAAAATACAGGCAACTTCAAGTTCAGAACACTGGCTTTATAAGATACAGGCGGCCTATAGTTTACATACAGTTTCACGTTAAATTCAACCTCGTTTAAAGGCCTTCAGTTTTCATGCACAATACAATCGCCGAGTTAGAACAAAGTGCACATGATATTGGCATTACCTGGTCATTTCTTTAAACTTTAGGACTTTAAACATTTCTTACCTGCAATGTTTGCTTTAGACATGACATCAGAAATCCTTAAAATGAAATCAAATTGGACAAGTAAGGAGACGTTGTTTTTCGCCGCGTAAGCGTTGACTGGGCACCGTCTAGACTTGTTTGCAACGTCGTAGATTGCCGTAGATTGTTACAAATAGCACAGACCAGTTCATCGTTGCAACCGCTTAATGGCTGCGCCCATGAAAAAAACCATGGAAAGGTCTATATGCCAGTATCACAGTAACAGCTACTGTTGGACCATAACTACCGCAGCGCCCCCAGCAGGCAAGGGGGCATAACTCCAGGAATATTTGACTGTACATCTATTCCATCTAAGCATGTGTAATTAATTCAGAAGTCTAAATATACGACAACTACATTTATTTCATTCATATATAAATAAGTCAAGGAGATATCATCCCTTATAGTTAAATTGTTTTTTAATAGTTCTGACTATGCATTTGGACAGGCTGTCTGGACTGTTGTAACTCGGTCCGGTTTGTGGACCTGGTCACTCTATGTGGGCCTCATCATAAATATTATATGTCTGATTAAATCTCTTAAAATCAGTGAGGGTAAGAGTTCCCCCCGATCCCCCATCCCAAATAATATTTATAAATTAATACATTACAATTATTAACAAAACCTAACGCAACAATTATAATTATTAGATACATAGTAGCCAACCTTACTGTTGCTTGTGAAACTTCCCCTTGTTGGTCTCGGCCACTGATCACTCAGTCAGTTAGGAAGGTGTGTCAACAGCATCCAGATTATGGGGAGCGCTGGAAACAGGCATCAGTCAGCTGCGATTCACTTGATTCACACGCTACTACGGTAACCATGCGATAACATCTAGCAGATGCCACTAAAGTTTCAAAACACCGTTTATGCCTCAAACTTGACTTTGTCAGTTGCGTCAGTGGCTCTAGTCATCTGGTACAAGTGTCTCAGTTTTCACATGATTAGATTCCGAGTTATCGCCCTTTACTGAGCACTGCGCGGAACAAAACCGAACTAGCCAATTTTTATAGGGACTGCCTAAAAGCCGGACTGGCACCAAGGGCGACCGCGATGACCATGCCAAACTTTATTTAATGCAACATACGCACCTGACCATAATGAACAATCACAAACCATATAGTGCAGTATAATACCGTTATGGCGAGTAAATCGCTTATTAATCAGGAAGGCAAGATGTCAATGAACATGGCTGAACCGGGTTACATGTAAAAGAGGAGCCGTTAAACGAAACAGTATTTGAAACGTTTAAATACCGCCCTCGTGATGCATAATTTTCATTTTTCCCGGAAAGCTGTCACGTCTATATCAAAGCAAATGCTACTTTAGAAGATCACTGTTAATCGTATTAAATCATACCCACTGGTAAATGAGAAGATCTTTACCCCACACTTTCAAGATTTCTTCCGCCAAATGTGTTCGGTCCGACTTAATATTGGGTCTGGAGGTTAAAATCAACTGACATGTCAAATATATTTCATCACAATTGTTTACATATCTATAACATGATGATATCTATAAAATAACGGTAACACGTTGCTGAAAAAGCTCTTCATTATGTAAGGAATAAACTCCTCAGACTCGCCAATATTCGCGCAGCTGGTTGAGTCCGAGGCCGTTAGGCCGAGGACTCAACCAGCCCCGCGAGGTCTGAGGTGTTTATTGCGCTTAAACCTAAAATCATACATATTGACGCCCTATAGTTCCGTAACTCTTGCACCCGAACACAGCAATATTAATATTGGCGTCCGACATCTGTGTAACCCCGGTATGCACGATACACACGTTATGAACACGCTCAACTGTGCACGAGACAGCATATTGGAAGGGTACAAAACAAACGAAAATATTTTACTGCATCTATTTTACCAGATGTTTTCAACCATGTCAGACGAATGGGATCCTTTAAGCGATGTCTTTGTCACTCAAAATACATTTTCCGAAGCTACAACTTTGAATGTGAGTGACATTAATTCAGATTTTGAGTAACTTTTGAATGGAAGTATTTCGAGTGTCAGTTTTGATATCACTCTGCAAGGGGACAAAAATCATGTAGATACAGTTGGGAATAGTACTTCGGATGAGGAATTGCTGCGTGAGTCGCAAAACCTAGAACAGGAATTTGACCAAATGAATAGTTCAGCAGATGATGAACTGATGCTTGCTGCTCAGCAGATAGAAAAAGAAAATGATCAAACAGCTACCAAACGTTTTGGCAAACCCCTCTCAGTTTCTGAATATCAAAACTTGGAAAATCTTGCAAAAAATAAACATACAGAAAAGAAAAGCCAGTGGGCAGTGCGGATTTTCGATGCATGGCAACGTGAAAGGGATGGGTTTGAATCCGAGTTAGGCAGCAAATTATTAAGTGTTTCTGGTGAGGAACTGAATAGAACGCTGAGTCTATTTGTCACAGAAGTAAGGAACCAAAGGGGAGGTCAATACAACGGCAACACAATTCATGAGATTCTTATTTCGATGCAGAGATTCATGCGCCAAAGTGGTCGAGATGTTAACCTGACCACCGATTTTGCTTGTAGGAGTTTGAGAACCATTCTTGATGCTAAAATGAAATCACTGGCCCAGTCTGGTATTGGCATGCATAGAAGGCGAGCTAACGTCATCACACCACAGGAGGAGGATGCGTTGTGGGAGAGGGGTTTGCTTGGGGATGAGACCCCGGAGAAATTGCTTGAAACCGTTTTTTATTTGAATGGGATAAACTTTTGTTTACGAGGTGGGGAGGAACATCGTGCTCTAAAAGTAGGTGAATTTTCAAACTTCTGTGTTGTTACAAGAAACAACAAAAAACAATTGGTATACTCTGAAGGGGTTTCCAAAATGAATTCAGGAGGGCTGAAACATAAAAGATTGTCTGCTAAGGTCATTTCAGTGGATATTAATGAAGAGAACCCTGCCCTTTTGCCCAGTTAGACTTCACCAAAAGTACATGTCATTTAGGTGAGTGAATAATTTAGTGATTACTTAAAATCTCAAAATTGAAAAAATGTGAAATTCATATCGTTTTAAAATTTTTTGCTTTTTATACAAAAAACCCATGGAGACGGCTACAGTGAAGCTTGTATGCAATGTATGTACCACTTGATTGCAGGCCAGTGGGTTGTGATGACTTTTACCTTCGTCCTCAAGTACCCTCAGCCTAACCAGTGGTACTCTGCTGCTCCTATAGGGAGACACGTTCTGTCTGGGGTGTCAAGAGGCTCTGCGCCAGGGCCGGGTTTGAAGGATTTTATACAAACCACTCCCTAAGGGCTACAACGGCCACACGCCTGTATGAGAGCGGTTTGGATGAGCAGCTGATTGCCGAAAGGACAGGTCACAGATCGACAGCTATTCGTGCGTAAGTATAGGTGTAATTGCATTTGAAATAATCATATACTGAACAAATGGGCACTGGTACAATGGGACATATGTGCACTGTATTTAAGGATTATTAATCACGTCTATGGGCGGTGAGGTAGCCTAGTGGTTATAGTGCCTGCGGTGCGGGTTCGATTCCCCACACAAGCACAATGTGTAAAGCCCATGCTTTGTGTCCCCCGCCGTCATAGTGCTGGAATATTTGCTAAAGGATGTGTAAAGCCAAACTCACTCGCTAACAATCACTTGTAAAATGTATATCAAAATATTAGTGAGGGAGTAACATGTACTGAATAATTATGACCATATACAATACAGGTACAAGAGAACAAGCGAGGGCATGTTAAAGAGTGTTGATGATGTTGTCCAGAGGAAAACACCAGCAACTGCCACATCAGCGACTAGCTCGCCAACACCTCACTCTCCGACACCACTGACCCCAAGACGTCAAGACGCCAACTGTTCAAAAGCTAAAACTGTACACTTCGTTGTTGAACGCGACGGTGCAAGAGTGACATTTGACATGTAATAAAGGGATGAAAACATTGTGAGGTTTTGTTTCTATATTTCGGTAATGGCTGACTGACTGAGTTTAGTGTTACGCCACTTTTAGCAATATTCCAGCAATATCACGACGGGGGACACCAGAAATGGGCTTCACACATTGTGCCCATGTGGGGAATCGAACCCGGGTCTTCGGTGTGTCGAGCCAACGCTTTAACCACTAGGTTACCCGACCGCCCCATTCCGGTAATGTGGGTATTACTGTTTGAATTCAGCGTTTGGACCGGGTCGGTAATGGGGCGCCAATATTTGAAAGTAGGGCGCCAGCACACCAGATAAAGTCGCCAATATACGAAGCTATGTCGCCAATAAACGAAAGATACGGGCTTCCCATTCCATGCTTATTGGAGTGATATGTTGTGTAATGGAGGCAGTTTTAGGTTTAAGTGTACACTAAATACACAGGAACCCGTTATGGCCATGTAGGTTAAACATAGACCATAGATCTACACACACGTCATATATGTATGCATTCTATTCATATATGTGACGCGTGTGTAGATCTATGGTCTGTGTTTAACCTACAAAGCGATAACGGGTTCCTGTGCACTAGATCCACCCACATAATACTGTACGTCACATTTAAAGAGAAATGCTCTATCAAAAGCGTTTGTTCTGTGTTTGTCCGGCTTAGCCTTGCCTAATATATGGACAATACATATGCCTGGGATATGAAGCAGTCAGTGGTTGGCATACCCACTGTTCGGCTAATTAAACGTCGATGATGTTTCAGGAAAATTATATTATTATACATATTAGACTGGTATATTATCTTCCTAAATACCACTTTGTAACGTCACAATACATCCCATGTAAATGTTACTGGTCCGTTCCTCTCCGTAGTCCTAGCACAGCCTTAAGCAAAAGTGTTTCTTTGGTTTGTGTACGGTCCAACCTGGTCGGGCTGTCAATAGCAACTTAGACATGACAGATGTATCCAGGAGCTTGTTTAAATCTATAGAATGGTGTCACAGGCTAAAATCTGTTTGTCACTAACACTGCACTTACTGATGTTGGTGTAAACAGCCCACCTTACTTGTGGTCTGACAGGAACATCTTGGGCTTTGGCACATGCAGTCCCTGCAAATGTTGGAGAGGCAGGTCACATGACTGCTCTCTATAAAAACTACATGAGCCAGAGGCCAGGCACACACCATGTCAGGCAACAACTATACCATGTTGTTGTGATCCACAGGTATGTTGTGAATTTGGAATGATTGTTTTAATTAATTATGCAAAAGGTATATATTTCTCAGGTAGGAAGTATATCCAACATGATATTAAACAATGTTATGGGGAAATTGCCAGTGATAAAATTAATTGTTTAAAATACAATTCCATCGAATATATTTTGGGTATTTGATAATTGATTAACATTTATATTATCTGTATAGAGACACGCCATGTCAGGCAACAATTATACCATGTTGTTGTGATCCACAGGTCATTTACCCAATAAAATACATCATCAAGAATGGACTTTGTAGTTCCTGCGACAAATTGGCGCCCAACGTGGGGCAGATGTGGTTTGAAGACGACCTGTGGATGATGTCATGACACAATGTTGCCATGATACAGCAGGTGCAGCAGGTGTAACGTCGCTGGAACATCCCAGGCACCGTGTCTCCTCTTGTGTTCGCAAGACCTTCAATAAGGTGATGGGGCCCGTATCACGTGTGAGATTCTGACATTGTCGGAATCGTGAGCACACTCGCGTTATCGCGTTCGCGTTTCCGTTGTTTTTGTGTCAAGAAAATGACTTTATGTTGACCTTTCGCTGATGTGGATGTCAGCATATGACTTTTGATTATCGTTTTTTGATGTCAGTATGGGACTCTTGATTATCATTGATGTCAGCATGTGATTCTTAATTATCGTTCTTTGATGTCAGCATGTGATTCTTGAGTGTCATTATCACCCCCTGGAAGCACTGTCCTGCAGGGTGCAGCGATAGGGTGACTGTCCCCTGCGTTTGCAGTGATCGCGTGCTTGTTTTGGCGGTGAATGTAAGATCGG